TGTTGCCAAACTCACAGCTCACCTTTCAATCTAAAATACTTTTTCAACAGTAAACATTTTCAATATTGTAACCCCGAATCGATATTAATTTATGTATGATTGATCATTGTACTTCACAGATGCTTGTTAATAACTGATAGGCATAGTCGTTGATATTATCATGTTGTTTGCTACACTTGCTTTGCATCAGAAGGAAAAACTTCGCAAGTATCTAAACTCACGTATCTCTTATTTTTTTTTACTCTTGATTTAAGTTTGTAATTTGAAATATTTTTTTATAAACCACACAATCTGCTCCAAACTCCAAGGCAAATCCGCCATTATTGCAAACCGAACCGCCGGTTTTTGATAAGGAAAAAGCAAATTCTAGTGACACTTTTATCACATCTGACCACCGCCATCATACAGTTTCTATTATCTCTCAAACCGCACCAGACCCGCACCGCTCACGAACTCCCTACCCTAACAGCCCATATCTGCTCCGCCAGCGTACCATCTTCGGAGGAAATGATTGTTTCCTTTTAAGTGTGCCTTTAACATGGAGTAGCGGTGAGCAGCGGATATACCGATCCGCCAAAACCGACCGAACCAACCGATCGCCAGCATTTTGAACGGATGCATGATGGACGAGACGGAAAACGTGCGATTGATTTTCCTCAAATCGCCAATTTGGCGGACGGATGCGCGGATTGAATTTTTTGGCCGCAACCAGAACGCCAAATCCGCGCAAAAACGCCGACACCACCCAGTAATTTATAAGACTTTGTATTGCAATGTGTTTAAATTTATCATGTTTGTGTTTTCAATGAAAAGAGTTTTAAATATTCTGTTGAAAAAAATTTCAACTAGAATATATTTTTTTGAATGAAAAAAATAGAATATGATTTAATAGCGGTGCGGGTCGGTGCGGTTTGGAAGAAAAATAGAAACCGGCGGATTGATAAAAGTGTCACTAGAATTTGCCATTTTTCTTACCAAAAATCGGCGGTTTGATTGGCAAATAATAACAAATTTGCTTTGACGGTGCGGTTCGGTGCGGTTTTGACAGTTTCGGCGGTTTCGACGGTACTATGCACACCCCTACTTAGGGGTTACGTGCCCCATGAATTTTTGAATTATTATTATTATTTTTTTTAACATATGTATATAAATAAAATTTTAAACAAAAATATTATTTAAAATAAAATGTCAAGGAATTTTTAAATTTATGAAAACAATAGTGATTATTTTATTGAAAATGAAGTGACTACAACAAATTATATTTTTATGTATGAAAATTTTATGAAAAAATCTCAATATAAAGGTAATATTCATTATTGATATGCAAATATAATTAATCTCACTATATATATGTAAAAATTTCTAAGAGTGTTAGTTATATTTGCATGTGAGGGTCACCTTTCATATGTTGCTTTACTATTGGTTGGTGATATCATATGTTAATAATGACATGATATCACTATTATATAAAATTTTTACTCAAATTTGGTAAAAATTTGATTTATCTTACAATTATATAATTTATTTTAAGACTTAAATATATGACTGTTTTTACATCGTCCATGATATACTAGTTATACGCAATACTTTCTTTTCGATTTTACTCGAAATTAATTATAAAATTTTATGTGAAATATTTTTGTAATAATTTATTTAAGTTTTTGTACTTATTATTATTTCAAAAATTATTATTATCTTCTTATTGTTGGTTATGGGGAAAAAAAAATTAAAGTTGTAATCAAGAAGTGTCCCTTGTGATTTAGTTTTCTGACTTCACCACTGGGTACAACAAGGCTATCTTTGGAAGTTTAGTTTTTTTATGAAGTGAAAAAGTTAATGTATTCGAGAGTATTTTTTAATTGAATAGATAATTGTGAATAGATAACTGTGAGGAAAAAAGTAATTAATTGTTGGGTTTGATGTGATCATTTGTTATTGAGGTTGAATTTTTGGCCTTTTTACTCTATTTTTTTCCCTCTGTGTGTGATTTTTTGGGTTTTTTTAACGGTGGTGCTGCATGCACCAATTAGTGTATACACTAATATACCAATTAATATTATAATATTATTATTGACCACATTTATTATACAAGTTACAAAAAAGTCGCTTCATCTATTAGTACACTAGTGGGCACATTAATTGATACATATAGTATTATTATTTTTTAAATCAAAAAGTCGCTTCCCAAAAAAAAGTGTTTCTTGAATTTAAATGTCCACATTCAATATATTTTGATGCATAATTAACACTAATATAAATGTTGGATGACAAGAATAAATTTTTTCAAAGATGTCGCTTTTCTTTTTATATTTATTACAAAAATGCTAGAGGCCCCAAAAATTCTACCAAAAGTTTTACCAAATGTCTCACATGGGTGTGGGACTCACATGGGACCAACTTTGTGTGGATCCCACACCCATGTGAGACATTCGGTAAAACTTTTGGTAAAATATTTAGGGTCTCTAGCATTACTCTATTTATTATGATGTGTATTTATAGTTTTCATGACTTATCCCTGATTTAGGAGAGAGATTGAATTAGATTAGGGGCCTTAATTGAAACACTTTTTATACATTAGAAAATAAATTGACACAATTTAAATATTACAGATCACATATTGTAAAGGTGAAAAACATAATAATATACATTTTTTAATAGCATTTACACATTTATTCCTGAATAATCCAAATTGGAGTCAACACAATTTAAGAACGAGTTCGGTTGGAGGACCAAATCAAAATACTTTTTATACATTAAGGATTGAATTGACACAATTTAAACAATAAAAACCAAAATGACGAAACTTAAATACTTTTTATTACTAAAAAGGTAATTAATCCTATAACAATAATAAAAGAAGACATACAAGAGTTTCACCAGAACCAGCCAAACTAAGAGCAAACAAAAGAAAAACCCACAAAATACATATAACTGGAAGACGCATACAAACTTAACAACATAAAACACGATAGATACGCATACAACATAAACCATATAGTTGAAACAGGTTCCAGCTTGCGGCTTGCACATGGAGTGCCAACAAACTTATCTAGAATCTATCCTTCTTGAACATAAAACTTCATTAGCTATCATCATCCTTGAACGAGCAATTATTGCGACGAACGAGAGAGATGTAACAACAATACAAACTCTGGGACAGAAAGCAAAAAATCAAAAGAACTAGATGTAAGTTTGCTGAAAATATCAAAAGAATTAATGAAAAATTCACATGTAATAGAAAATACGAGTGAGTCAACAACAAATATTGAGTGTAATAGTCACACCCCAATAAAAGATTTAAAATGAAATTGGATAGATATCTCTTGCCTACTACTCATCCAATCATGAATCAGAGATTTCAACCTTCTTATAGATGATATTACGCATGGCATCACTATTATACCTAGTTAAGCTTGTAAGCCATCATGGATGTGTGTGTATATATACCCACATCTATGCTATATAATTTATTCCATTTTAAAGGAAAAGATGAGAGACCCAAACAAAATAGGCAGACAAGTTAACATAATAACGAAAAAGAAGAGAAAAGCATCACAGGAGATTTCTTGGGAGAACTTAAACTTAAATATTATGCATAAAGATATTTGGGTGAGATGAACAGTCACCTTGGATACAGTTAATTCTGATCAGCATAACAGTCCAGAAGCATTAGCTATGGAGAACTCGTGGCTCAACATAGGCCGCAAATGTCTGCAGCGCTGTTAGCAGCAGCAGAGCAGAGGCTGAGGCGACTGAGATAATTGACCACGGACTGCTAAAATATGTGCGCCTCAAAGTTGCCCAGTCGCTGCTATAGTAGGCCTCCACTTCTCTGAATTCGTTTTTTAGGTAACACTCTCTAATGTTGAACACAACATGCTCTCCCAACATGTTGAAAAGATTAGCAACATGATTATCGTTGTAGGAGAAATTTGAGATAATTCCGTCCTCACAAAGGAATGTAACGTCTCTACTTGAGTTGATGAGACAACTAATGAAGGCAATATATTCAGAAAAGCATTTCGAGTTGGGCCGTGGGTAGCATTGTTCGCAGGCAACACAGTTAATTAGGACAGTGCTGGTGAAATCATTGATGGTCATGGGTGGGATTCCTAGCACCCCTTTGTGGAAATTTATGTCCAAGAAATTACCAGCTTTTAGTGGCCTAAACTTGACCCCAGCATGCCGGAGTCGTGTCACACATGGTATTGACTGATCAGATGATGGACGATACCCTTCTGGCCTATACACGGTTGGCCTATGCGGGGCTTGCTGTAATTTTGGGCAGCAGTAGCTACAGTAAAACAAGTGAAGTAGATGACAGCTGTCTTCATAAAGGGAAACTCGCTGTTGTCCCTTGAATGAGTCAAGGGACCGAGGCAGGGCAAGATTAAAAAACTTTAAGGCTTGCCACAAGAAGGGTTCCCTTGTATTGAAATTGGAGAGACTGAATAACTCCAAAAGAACGAAGAGGGGAATTTGGTTTTCAAGCTTTAAGAGGTCTCTAATGAGAATCGGAATTAACCATGGCTTCATGAGCACTAGGCTATTGACATTCGCAGAATCTTCACTCTGGCAAACTTGTTGGAAGAGTTCAATGATAAAGCAACCATCAAGTAGCATCATCTCAATGAAATCGTCACTTGACATCTGAATCAGCTCTGAGTATTGTGCTCTTGCTTTGAGCTCTAATTCTTTCATGGCTAGCGTCATGAGCCGTAAAGAACTCTTCGGTTGTTCCATTCGAGAAAGTAGGGAATCAAGAAACTGCCATTTGAAACTTTGGAATTCAAGTACCTCATCTTTGTCGCGGTGATAAGGGCCTATCGACACCTTTTCTGGCTCAGTGGCCCTTCTACTGATTCTTGCAAGGTTTTCAGGGACTCGGCATATAGAAGATATGTCCCTTTCCGTTGTGCTTTGAGCTCCTTCTCTTCTATTTTCTTCCAAGCGCCTCTGAATGAGAATGACACATGCATTGTCACTGGATTCCTCTATTTCATTGGTAGAGCCAACCGACGTCTCTATGTTGCTATCGGATTCCTCTATAGTAATGGCTTGATGCTCTCCATTCTCCATTTTTTTTTTCTCTCACTCTCTGGCTTTGTGTAAGCTGAAGGCAGAGTGACCCTTTCTCATGTTCAGAGCTCAACCAGAAAAGCTGCTTAAATAAACGGTGTGTTCTTCGTGGGAGGTGCAAGTCCTTCAAAAGTCTACTTACTATTCACTAGAGGAAACTGAAGGGAAGGTTCAAGGCAAATGAAGGAGTGTATATTAGACAAATTTCTTCAGTTTTTGGAATCAAATTTCCCTCATTCTACTTCAGACACGGTTTCTGTCTTTGGTACATCGGAAAAAGAAAAACATATTCAGGTGTTTTGGGAACATTCCAAAAAAGCTAATTTCTTTAATTTTTTAGTTTTTTTATACAAAAAAAAATTCTTAAAAAGTCAGTTTTTTTAACATAAAAAAATTTAAAAAGTCACAAAAAAAAAAAAAAAATTTAAAAAGTCAACTTTTTGTCAATTTTTCAAAACAACACTCAAGTCGCGGTTTCAATCAATTGTGTTGCAATGTATCATTGTACCGGCAGCAGTAACATGGATGTGAAGAGGTTATTCGGTGGTTTACGAGAGTAATGCTCCAAAATATTAAGGTTGCGTTTGGTAGGGTTTTATAAATATAATTTGAGAATATAAGTTGCATTTTGAGTTTGTGAGTTATAGAATTATGATTTGAGTGTGAAAAATTTGTTTGGTGAAAGAGTTTTGAAAGTGGTTTTAAATTTTTGAAGTGACATGATATTTGATATAAAAATTTACAACTCATAACCAAACATGCAACTCAAAATTCTATTAAAACACAAAAAAAATTTAAAAATTCAGAAAATATTTTTTTTCAAATATATAAAAATTAACATATGTCAATTGCAAAAATGAAAAAAATAAAAAATAAAAAAAAATAAATTTGCACTGTTCTGGTCAACCGGCCGGACGACCGATTAGGCCAAATTTGAATTTTTTTTTTTTCAAAATCACGCCTGAGATAGTTTTTTGCAGAGTTTTGGAAACGTGATTTGAAAACTCCTTCCAAACATCATATTTGAATATAGGTGTAGAATCATTATTTGGAAACACAACCAAACACAGCCTAAATTTCACAATTTTAATTAATAATATTAAGTTGAGAAAAATAAAACTAAATAAATAAAAATTTTCAAAAGAAGTCCAAAAAGGGCAAAAATAAGTTAAAAAAAATAATGGACTTTCTTGCCTTATTTTGGCTTTTTTAATTTTTTTTCTTTTTAAATTTGTCTACACAAGATAGACTAAAAAGAATAAAAAAAGTGACATAATTTTAAAGTAAAAATTACAAAAAGAGATGACTTTTTTAGGTGTTTCCAAACACGTCAACAAATTGAAGGGAGATTTTTTTTTAAAGTCTCTAGTATTAAGATTTTATAACATAAATGATATACAATATTTTCATAGTAATTGGGGTTCCTCAACATTTTTACAGAAAAAATTCGACATAGAGAAAATTCGTCCTGACACAAAAAAAAATTTTCAATTTCCACAAAGAAATTTCTCTAATTTTTCAGAGAAATTTTAAAATTTTTCTGGTAAAATCACAAAGAAATTTCACCAAAAAATCCTAACTAATAAATATAAATATATATATATATATATATATTAAATCTCTCGTACTATTTAAAATTTTAAAAAATGATGTTTTATTAATTTTTTCTTAGGCCCCTTTTGGGAAGTGAGTTATTGGTCCTGTTTGGTGTAGCTGTTAAAACAACTTATAGATTATAGCTTAACAGATTATAGATTATGACTTTAATCAGAAGTTGTTAATCTGTTTGGTGTAGCTGTTGGATTATAGATTTAAGTAGTGTTTGTTAAATAAGCTGTGAAATAGCTTTTTCAATTAATTTTTATTTTTTGTTTGTCTACATTTCTCATAAATAATAATAATAATAATCTATAGTCCATTTGAGTCTTTTTCTATTTTTAAAAAATTAAAAAATAAAAAAATTTAAGAGTATAACCATAAATTAATATGTCCACAGCAGAAGCTGATAATCAGAAGCAAGGGGTGAGCAGCTTCTCAGAATTAGCTTTTTTGAGTTAAAATAAGCTGTTAGAATCAGAAGCTGTTTGAAATAAGTTTAACCAAACAGTCCAAAATAACTTTTTCAAAACTAAAAGCCATAAGTTGGCTCTAAAAAGTTGAAACAAACACCCTCATTATAACTCACTTCTCTTCTCACAAAAAAGTTATTTATAAGTTGTTTATAAGTAATTTTTAATCAAAAAGTTGATTATAATCATCTTTTCAAAATAGTCGTAAGTGGATAAGAGAGAGAGAGAGAGAGAGAGAGAGAGAGAGAGAGAGAGAGGAGTTGGCTTGGCAGGAGAATCACAAGAGAGAGACATGGTTGAAAGGCTGAATGGGAAAAGATTGGGGAAAAGGGTATATTGGACACTTCACTAAAAAAATCACGTTTTAATCATAATTTTGAAAGATTTCCACTGTCTAAGGATAATTTCTTCTTAGGGGTTGTTTGGAATGTTCTAAATAAATGCACATTTTAACTTTTTTATAAAAAAATATGTAGAAAAGTAGAGAGGAGATATTGGCTAATGTGACCCCAAAAAAATAAAAAGATAAAAAGATGGACTAAATTAGTGTATGCCAAACCACCCCTTAGACTCACTGTCAAGTAATTTTCTCAATTTCAAAATAAACACTACTTTTTTTAGTACTATATACGGTTATGCTCTAGACTCGCACCGCCCACACATTTGTGAGAGAGAGAGACACGGGAGCAATGTTTTAAAAACCGGACCGGTGAACGAACCACAAAAAGGATCGGGTGGACGGGTCACCGGTTCAACTATCGAGTTGAACTGGAATTGAACCGTGACATAATAAATATATTAAAATTATATTTAAATAAAAATATAAGTAATAAAGTTATAAATTAAAAATATTAAATTATCTTAAATATTTGTCTTAATATTTTTTTTACTGAAAAATATAATAATATATTTTGAAATATTATTAATTTCAATTTTGGAAGATGAAATCAAATATTTAATATTCCCTCCATATGATTTTAATTCAAATAATTTGATTGAAAGGAGAGCAAAAATTTTGGAGGGATATCAAAAATTTCAATATTCCCTCCAATACATTTGATTGAATCCCACATGGATTTCTTGAGTCTTTTTGAAAGAATTTTTTTCTTATAAATAGGTGAAGACTTTCACAATAATTTCATCAAAACTCTTAATGGAATTCCTCACAAGAGGAGACCCTTAAAAAAGAGTTTCAAATTAAAATTTTCTTATATTCTTATATTTTATATATATAAAGTAAGAAAGAAAGAAAGCAGAGAAAAAAAAAAAAAAAAAAAGCCGGACCGGTTCGATCAACCCGTGACCGGGTCAACCGGTTTGCCGGTTTAACCGGTGGGTTCACCGGTTTTCAATAAATAGTCCGGTTTTTGCAGTTGGCCGGTTTAAGAGGGCTAACCGGATCGGAACCCCATCCGGTCACCGGTTCAATCGGTTGAACCGGCCGGTCCGGTCCGGGTTTCAAAACCTTGCACGGGAGGAGAGAGAAGAGAAAAAAAAAAAGATATAGTCTCTATTTGGAAAGAGGCTTTTAGGGTTTTTTTGGTTAAAATATTCACAAAAAATAAAATAGCTTTTTTAGCCTAATAAGACAAAACACCACATCCAATCCATAATCATTACATTTTTTTTTTCTTACAAAAAAGTCAAAAAAGCTAAAAAAAGCCAAAAGTCCTTCCCAAACTAAGATTTTTAACCCCAAGCTAAAATAGCTAAAAAAGTCAAAAAATAAAAAGCCAACTCACTTCTCAAACGACACCATAATGTATAGCCACAAATCAATTGATGGTTATTGGGGTCAAAAATTGTTGGACCTCCAAGTATTTTCCATATTTGATAGGGCTTCTAGTAACATGAGAGTAATTTTATATGAAAAAGTTCATGTCAATGCAATTAAAATTTCGCATGGAAAAAAAATATATATTTTACTAGTTTGCCTTTAATTTTTTTTTTAATTTTTTAAGTTTATTTTGTCTTTAAAAAAAATTTGAATTTTTTAAACAAATATTTAATTTTTTAGATACATCTAAATTAGATGCACTTAAATATATATAAAAAATAACTAAAATATATAAGAAAAAGTTCATAAAAAGAAAAAAAACACATGAAATTTGTATTTTTTTTATGGTCGGATGTTTGGACCAGTTTACGTGCATTTCGACTAATACCGAGATCCACGTAAAGCGCCACCTCCACCCAGATCAGGCAAATCTTAAACAAAACTCACGGACATGGCCCCAATTAGCCGATTGCTCTTAATGGAAGTTGTACCTGACACCTAAAAGGAGCACACTTCTAATTTCTAAGTTGCACCTGCTAGCCCAAATAGACAATACTTACTGAACAGAGGTCATCCAACAAAAGCAAGCACTATGACACAGGATTTGGTACAAATGTGATTTGGTACACAAGATTTGACATATAACCTACCCAATATTTTTTTTAAAAAATAAACCGTTTAAATTATTAAAATGAATCCTAAAATAAGCATAATAAATTGCAAAACAACAACCATTCCAATCCTGACACACAAGGCATATGTGGTTAGCATGAATGGCTTTATTTAAGGAGTAGTAGGTTCTTGGAACGACGCAAGATGACCCTACTAATGCACTACGACCGTGAAATTATATGAAGTTCAAAGAAGGTGTTGGTGATAATTACAAATAAAACACCAGAAAATAAGAATAATAGAAATTACAAAAACTATTGTAAGGGTTGAGGCGCGGGAAATTCGCTCTCTTTAAGGAGATTCAAGCCCTCTGCGGTTAGGCAAAGCCTCACACTGGTGCAGCAGAAAAACCTTGACTTGTCCACCCCGGGATACAACAGCCCGACTAAGTCGTATGGTTCACCAATACTGCACAATTAGTTGAACCCAAAGCTTTATCACACACATCCTTTTTATTTGCCTGATAATCTCACTCAAGACAT